CTAAACTTTTCATATATCTAATTTAATTATCAAAAAATTCCCATTAAAATAGATCTTATTATTACAGATATAATAGATATTATTATTGCTTTCACAGTTTTACAGAACAATTAAAAGTTAAAAATATAAAATAAGAATCCCAAGGTAAAACAAATAGTAATAGGTAGAACTAAGATTTTAATCAAGACTTAGGTGACTCCAAAGTCCATGTGTAACTTCTATATCATAAAGCAGAGCTAGGAAGGGTGGGTGACATGCTCACTTATTCTATTGACCAAATTCTCTTAATTTATTTTATCAAGGTTTTTTTTTTTTTTTTTTTTTTTTTTTTCAAAATCCACAATTGTCTCCCTGTAGGCTGGAGAAACAGTCTCTCAGTTGCCGCCTTGCTGGAATTTAAAAATGTCTCAAGTCTACTCCTACTGCTTCTCCCATTGTGGAAGAAAACCCAGGGGAACTCTAGTATTAGAATTCTCTTTATTAGGGACCAGCAGTTAGCGTAATGGCTATGTCACTGGACTCCCATGTAGTCGACTGCGGTTCAAGTCCTGGACCCAATGGCTTATAAAAAACTCAGGCTGGGTACGTGTGCATGCGTGCTGAAGATCCCAAGAGGAGAATGGAGGAGAAGGGATTGTGGCATGGCCATCCCCCCTGTGGGGTGATTTCTCGCTTTCTATCTCTCTGTCCCTCTCTGTCTCTCTGGCGAGCGCACACGCCCTATAGCAAAAAAGCTCTCAAAAATAATAATAATAATAATAATTCTCTTTATTACTGGGGCCAGCAGGTGGCATGGTAGTTAAGGCGCTGGACACTCCCACATGGCCAACCATGGTTTGAGTCCCAGACCTGGTGGCTTGCTCTCTCACTTTCCTTCTTTCTGTGTGTCTGTCTTTCTCCGGTCAAAGGAGTGAATAAAAAATTAAATAAATAATTCTTTAAAAACAAAAAAGAATTCTCTTTATTATTGAAATATGACAGCTGCCAAGGCAATTAGAGATGGATGGGCAACTGCCTCCACTCTTCTGTTTTCCATTCTGCAAGACTTTGAATTCTTATCCTACAGGGTCTCCCATTACACAACTGTACTTGTCTAATATTTCACTTCATCAAGGTATAGTGACCCACCGAGGGATATTGTCAGGGTCTGGGCACCCCTAGGCAGATTCCAAAAGGTAATAAACCAATGTTGTTACTGATGGAAGATTGTAGAATTAGGCCATTTAGAAATTTGCAAGATTTAAACAGATCAGGTTTCAATGCTTATGGTCTACGGTTTCACAGATTTTTAAAATATTCACCTACTTTTAATTGCCAGAGAGTGTGTGTACTCACCAAAGGTAGTCAGAGAAAGGGAAGGAGAGACAACGCATCCCCAGTGGGGTGGAGTCATGGCACGATCCCCTTTCCTCCATTTCTCCATCCTGTTAGGATACTGGGTGTGCATGCACATCCACCTGGCACGCTTTTCAAACCACTGGAGCTGGGGTGTTAAGTGAGGTTGGCAATGTGAAATCTGTCTCTATGCCCAACAGTTAACACCTGCACCATGTGGCTGGCTGACCCACACAAATCAACTTTCTAGGGCAACAACTAAAGTATCAACTTTATAATTACTGTAGAAATAGTAGGGCAACGAGATCTTAATGAATCATGAAACTCCACCCAAGCTCACAGGTGTGTCTTACTGGGGAGACAGTGTGGTTGGAGTGCAAGGACTTGGGGTCTGGCCCCAAGCAATGTATTTTGCATAACTCCTTAAATTCTAAGAGTTGAAGTTTCTCCTTTGTAAAATCAAGGGATAAAAATTAAAAACAAATTCTAAGGTTTTCATTCAAGAAGACATCAATTTAGAAATGTTCTGTAAACAATAACGTGTTGAGTGATAACTGACATTGCTGTATGTAAACAGATAATATAATTTAGCGTGTACCTAGTAAATCTTTTCAGAAGCCTTTAGGACTGGCCAAAACTCTTATGTTCAGGAAGCTTAGGAATTGGATCATTTTAAGAGAAGTTTATTTTCATGTCTTTTTCCAATTTGTGTTTTTAAGATTAAAAATCTGTATTTTAATCTTGATGAAAACATACAAGGAATAAACAATGAGCTCTGTGAAGAATGTTCGGTGCACCTCTAACAAACTCAAATTCCTGTGTCACTGTTGAACGCCTAATTACTGGATATAAGCACGGTATCGGTCCAGTGAGTATTCATGTTTAATTATTAAGATAATCACTAATTTCCACTGCTGTTCCATTGCCACTTCGTAAGGCATGCACTATTGGTCTCTTAGTATTTTGCTCTCATTGACCATAGACTGTAAATCATTATTTGTTAGTTACAGACCTTTACAATGCCCAGTGGCATTTGCCATTGATGACAGCAATAACAGATGATGTGGAGTCACAGCTACTAGGAGTGAAATGCACAAAGTAAAATGATAATAAATAACTGCCACTCCATTACTAAACAGTGCCTGAAATTGATTATAGCCATGTTCAATATAGCAGAGTCTGGATAATATGAGAACCAAAAAGGTATTTACTCCTTAGTAATAGCAGTAAAAAAGGAGTACAGACACTTGTGCAATGACAAGAAATGTCGTAGTAAGCATGACATAAGTATTCAAAGAATACTCAGAAACATCCACTTCAAAATTTTATGGCATCATCTCAAAGTAGTGGTGCTTATGAAATGTATTAAAAGATGTATTCAATTCTAAGGATACAAATTAACAGCAATGCTGGATAGAACGCAAAAATGAGGTTTTTGCAAAACCCACCATTGTCTCCCAGTTAGGCTAGAGAAACATTCTCTCAGCTGCCACCCTCCTGGAACTTTAACAATGTCCTGAATCTACTGCTACTGCTTCTTCCATTGCATTGGTATGATGGTTGGGGTACTGGACATCCACATGGCCAACTGCAGTTCAAGTCCTGGACCTGGTACCTTACCACTTTCTCTCTCTCTCTCTGATGAGTATGCATGCCCTATAGCAAATTAAAAATAATAATAGGTGGGACCAGCAGTTAGCGTTATGGCTATGTCGCTGGACTACCACCTAGTCGACCGTGGTTCGAGTCCCGGACCCGGTGGCTTAAACTCACGCTGGGTGCATGTAAGTGCATGCCCAAGATCCCAAGAGGAGAATGGAGCAGAAGAGACTGCGGCATGGCCATCCCCCTTGGGGGGATGATTTCTCACTTTCCGTCTCTCTGTCTCTCTCTGTCTGTCTGGTGAGAGCATGTGCCCTATAGCAAAAACCTCTCCAAAAAATAAATAAATAAATAAAAATAAAAAAAAAATAATAATAGGGACCAACAGATGACATAATGGTTATATCGCTGGACTCCCACATAGTCAACCAAAGTTCAAGTCTTTAAACTCACACTGGGCATGTGTGCATGTATGCCCAAGATACCTAGAGGAGAATGGAGAAAAAGGGATTGTGGCATGGCCACACTCCTCCCAAGGAGGTGATTCCTCACTTTCTTTCTGTCTCTCTCTCTCTGGTGAGCACATGTGCCCTATAGCAAAAATCTATCTTAAAAAAAAATAAGAAGAATAAAATTTCTAACCCTAAAAATAAGATGTAAGACTGAGCTTATTGATATCATTGTATCATTATAAGAAATATGGAACAGAGATCTTATCATTAGGAACTTGGAACTGTAAGGGCTGTAAGATGTCAGGTAGATATTATAAAACCTGTATAGTCATGTCCTGGTTCTAATCAGATGATTGGGTGGGGGGCGGCAATGACCTTGGGCATCTGACTTACAAACTTCAGGTATGAAAGTAGAATCCCTTCTAATAAACTTACAAGATAGATCTACACTAAGAGTCTGTGATTAAAGTTGCACACACTATACAATTATTCGTCCTTAAAATTAAAAATATATATGTTTCCTCCCCCTTTTCAGACAGCTAAGACATCCTTTGTTCTGTTCTGTCTCTCATCCCATCAATGATGTAGCAAGTGTATTGTGGTCGTGGCTGGTTGGTTTGTGTTGTAGAAAAAGATTCATTCTACTCACTTTATGTTCTAAGTGGCCTGACATGTGTAATCAGCAAAGGTCTGAGTCCAAAAACGTAACACGCATACTAGAAAACTTATATAAATCGGAGGCTCACTGATCCAATTAGTAAAGCTGAGATGATAAATCAATTTAGCATAGTTAATGTGAGATTTAGGTTAAAAGTGTATGTGAAGTAATTATCATTCTTGATTTTCCCTTAAAAAGCAGAGCTTGAGAAAACAAGGTAGTTTGTTTTGAGATAAGGAAGCAGAACTAGTTGCCTGGGAAGAGTGAATCAGGAAAGAGAGACAATATGAAGATAACATTAGCAACCTGGTCACTAACAGAAACTGGGGCTTGAGCCCACCAAGGACCCTTTAAAGATCATGAAAACGCACTTTAGATTCGTCTATCTCAGGAATAGAAGAGGGCATATCGGTGCAGAGTTGCTTTGTGAGGTGTGAATTCTTCCCATGAGGTGGTGTAGATATTATAATGACTGAGCAGAGGCCAGGTAATTGTAGGGAAGCTCTAGGGCAGAAAGTAAATAAAATCTCAGTTGCTTTGAATTCATGCAGATGAGATTTACAAGAATAGAGTGTGGCCAGGCTGAATATAAGTGTACCCCAGAAGATTCAAAGCTAGAGGATCTATTTTGTCACTAGGTTGTGATGAAGTAATAACCCAGGGCAGCTCCGAGGAACTGGATTTTAAGGAATTGTATGCAGTGGAACATATCCAGTAACCATGCCGTTTCAGAGTGATTCCTAAGAGACCAGGAGCAGTGGCTTCTGTGAAAATTCATAAGCTCCACAATGAGCAGAGCTTATCGCTTTGTAACTTTCAACGGGCAGGTGGCTATCCAGCTGGCCCAGAATCCAGACCAAGAGCAAAAACATAAATAAAAATCGTAGTAATAGGAAGTTTACTCTTCTGTTATATCATTTTAAAGTTCATAGAACCGTCCCACATGCATTAGCTTATTCAAAGTTAGCGATGATGCTGTAAGGAGCGATGGTAGCATACGCGTTATTTTTCAGATGAAGAAATTTGAAGTTTCTAAGTTTTAACAGTCTTACCCAAGGTTTCATTCGCTATACACGATAAACCAGAATGAGAATCCAAGCATGCTTATCCTAATCCCAGCATTCTAAAAAGTGCCTTTATTTTAATAAAATATCCTCCTATCAATTTCTTCTTAAGCCCTGACACCCATTTCCCACTTCCAGGGACTCAGCATTAGCCTAAGCTACCCATTCATTCACTTCATGGAAGCATAAGCAAAGTTGACCTCTTGTAAAATGTATTCCGAATTCGATTGCCATTTATAAGATTTCATCTCTCACTACCAATGCTAACAGATTTGGAAAAAAAAAAACAAAACTATATTCAGATGCTACAAGACCTCAAGCAGTTCCCAAATGCACTGACTTTGAGAGGACTGAACAATAACCCAAATAATCCCTCAAGAAAGTGACATTGTCCAATAATATTACCAAATACTGCCTCGCTGTGTAATCATGATATCTATTCCTAAAACAGTTTTCTGAGAATCGAGGGGAAAAAGAAAGAAACAAAACATTTAAGGGTCATAAAAAATGGAATGATTGTTGATAATAATATTAAAGAAAATATCTTTAATTGGACTAATGTATGGTATATCCATGCTGGGAAAATTCACTTTGCATGCTATAATGATATATAGAGATTGAATATATTACAGAAAACAATAAAATTTTAAAATTTCTCAATTAAAATATAAATCAGAATATTCCTATTACTAAAGTGGGAGCAAGACAAAATTTATAAGAAAACCAGGTTATTTTGACTGATAAATATCAGTTTTAGGCAATCTGAATATTCCAAAATATGAAACTTTCCTCAGTTGATCTTTTCCCATATTTTCTCTATTTTATATAAATGGAAAATACTTTGTTAGATGTAAAACAAATAGATAAATGCAAGATAGTATTAATAAAAAAGATAGAGTTGGGCCCTAAAAAGACAGGATTTTTTTCTATTCATTTCACATATGTTAAGGTAAATAAACAGAAACAATATTTTTACATGATATGAGATTTTTAAAAAAGGCATAGGACTGGCAGGTATTGTAATAGTTATGTTGATGAACTCCCATGTAGTCAGCCATGGTTTGAGGCCTAGACCCAGCAGCTTAAATCTCATATCTGGTGTGCCCAAAATATTGAAAGCAGAATGGAGGAGGAGGAAATGCAGTGTGGCCATCCCCTCCAGGGGATGATTTCTCACTTTTTGTCTCAATGGCTCTCAGGCAAGGGCATGCATCCTACAGAAACAAACAAACAAACAAACAAAACAAACCTCTGTCTAAAAAAAGGCAACCAAAAAGAGAAGTAAAAAAGGAATCTACCTCTGTATTTGTTTAAAATTAGATTGTGTTTGTTTAAAAAAAGTTTTTGCCTTAGGGTGCATGGGCTCGCCAAAGAGAGAGAGAGAGAGAGCCAGAAACAGTGAGAGGGAAAGTAAGAAACCACCTTCCATAGGGGGGATGGCCACCTACAATCCCTTCTCCTCCATTCTCCTCCTGCGATCTTGGCCACGCACACTCATGGGCCCCAACCTGAGTTTAAAGTCACTGGGTCTGTACTCAAACCATTAGGAGTCATAGAGGAGTTCAGCAACATAACCTCTATGCCATCTGCGGCCTCTAGATTTATTTTTATTTCATTAATCTTGTTTTTCATTCTTACAAAGTAGAAATCCAAAGGATTATGGGTAAAATCTGACATAGGTTAAGGTTTATTTTAAATCAGTGTCCAGAAATCATATAGTAGAACACATGAGGTTTACTAAACATTGCTTGAATGTTTCTGAGGAGATTCTATAACAAGAAGTCTTCAAACACCACAGTATACTCCGGTCTTTCCCTGTAAAACTGTGCCAGCATCAGACAGACACACATGAGGGACCGGGACACAGGGAAACATGTTAAAAATGTGCTTCCATCTCCACATTTTATGTCACTGAATTGAACTAATTTAATAATGATGTAATAATGATGATTGTGATAGTCATACTAGTGCTGCTAATCCTACTGCTACTAATAATAACAAGGATTCATAAAAATTATTGAGAACTTACTATAAACTGAGCACCATGTAAGTGCTCTGTTAACTCAGTCCATATAGGGAAACCTTTAGTGTTCTCACTTTACAAATGATGGAATTGAGGTAACAAGATACCAACAATGTTTTTTCTTCACTTGCCTTTAATCATTGTACATCTTTACAGCTTGCAACATGATTTTTCCCAGCATGCATGTAGCGCATGTCAATCAAGTCAAAGATATTATCATATACAGAAACTGAAATTGTGGATGCTACCAGAGCAGGGAGGGCAAGCATAGAAATAGAAGAGGGTGGGTAGTGGGGCTCAAGAAAAAAAAACGAACCAGGCAAATTGACTTTTCTAAGTGTTGAAGCAGGAGGTGGCTGATACAGAAGCATTCCCAGGCGGTCTTAGATACTGTGCTGGACCACTAGGGTTTCAGATCCCAATTCCTATTTTTTTTTTCTTTTTGGAGAGGTTTATGCTATAGGGCGCGTGCGCTTGCCAGAGAGACAGAAAGCGAGAAATCACCCCTTGAGGGGATGGCCACGCTGCAATCCCTTCCCCTCCAATCTCCTCTTGGGAGCTTCGGCACGCACGCACACGTGCCCGGTGTGAGTTTAAGCCACCGGTTCTGGGACTCAAACCTTGGTCGACTACATGGGAGTCCAGCGACATAGCCACTACACCAGCTGCTAGTCCCTCAGGTCCCAATTCCATAGATTGGTTTATGGCTGCAAGTTGTCAGTGGCTAGGCTGTCAGACTTTCATAGATTTCCATCAACTGGGTATGAGTAAAGTGAAGCACAGAATTTCAAAGGAGCTCAGAAGTTGAGATTAACATTTGTGGAACTGTGTGTGTGTGTGTGTGTGTGTGTGTGTGTGTGCATGCACGTGCAAGCGCGTGCATGTTAGAGTAGGCACAGAAGAAGTTAGAGCAGAAAGGAAAAAAATTGGGGCAATATATTTACAATTTCTTGCTTTTTCTTTTCTACTCTAAATAAGCATGTACATATTTCACTTTTATATTCCCATGACTGCTATAAAGATCAAAAATAGTGTGGAGTGATTCACTACCTGACCTGAAATGGCCTCACAGTGAGCTCTCACAAAGAGGAATTAATTCTCCTCATGCTGCTGCCCCTATTTTCTTTTTTTTTTTTTTGGAGTGATTTTTGCTATAGGGCGCATGTGCTGGCCAGGCAGACAGAGAGAGACATAGAGACAGAAAGCAAGAAATCACCCCCCAGGGGGGATGGCCACGCCGCAATCCCTTCTCCTCCATTCTCCTCTCGGGATCTTGGGCACGCACGCACACGCGCCCAGTGTGAGTTTCAAGCCACAGGTACAGGACGCGAACCACGGTTGACTACATGGGAGTCCAGCGACATAGCCATTACGCTAACTGCTGATCCCTGCTGCCCCTATATTCTAAAGCTTTCTTCCTGTGCTTCACAAAACCAGCTCCAGATCCTGGAGTCCCACCTGTGAGAGGCTGCCTAGTCATTGACAAGGAGGGGGAACACCCCTCAACGACACAACACACAGCTCTGCATCCAGGGATGACATTGCTCAGAGATAACATACCCGGTCAGTTTTTCCTTCAGTCTGAACGCTGGCATGGCTGCGAACCTCATGATCTTCTTCAAGGTCAGAAACATCCTCTAGTTCTTCAGGGGTCTGTAAAAAAAAAAAAGAAAAGCAATACATAGCTGGTGGGAATGTAAAATGGTGAAGCTGCTTCGGCAAACAATCTAGCGGTACCTCAAAAGGATAATTATAGAGTTACCATAGGATCCGGCTTTCCACGCCTAGGTATATACCCAATAAAAATGAATGCATGTGTCCACACAACGTACCCACGAATATTCATAGTAGCATCATTGATAATAGCTAAAAAGTAGAAACATCACATACATCTACAGATGACTAGATAAACAAAATAAGGTACAGTACGCTATTTGACCATAAAAAGGAGTGAAGTACTGCTAGGTGCTGCAACACGGGTGGACCTGGAAAACATTAGGCTAAGTGAAAGAAGCCGGTCCCATTTCCCTGAAATGTCTAGAATGAGCACAGTTATAGACAGAGATTTGATTACTGGTCGGCAGGAGCTGAGAGGAGGGGAAATGGGAAGACGGCTGGTGGGCATGTGGTTTGTTTGGGAAGATGCCAATGTCCTGGATTATCTCGTGGTAACGATCATACAACCTTGTGAATATGCTAACACGGAGTCTTACACTTTAAAATGGTAAAGTTCATGCTATATAAATTATATCCTAATAAATTCTGAGGAAAAAGGAAAGCAAAAAATTATGAGAAGGAAGTTTTTTTTCTCAGTGAGCATCTATTTGGCTACTTATTATGTGGTTACCCCAAGTCAAAGTGTTTATAGTTGATATATAAATCAGATGATTATCATTAAAATCATATGCCATCAAAATGCCAGCAAAAATGATCAAGAAATTAAATTTTTAGAAACTTAAATAATATTTTGCATTAGCTCCATAGACCAGTAATTAGGCTCCATGTAGAGGATGCCAGGTCCCACATGGCAACAAGGGGTTTGAGTCCCAGCCTGCTGGCATCATGACTACGTGCATGTGTACATGCCCAGGATATGGAAAGGATGGAGATTTAGAGGGAACAAAAAAAGATTATAGCATAATCAGGCCCCTCTGGGAGAGTCCTCTCTCTCCTACCACTCTTTTATGTATGTTCACATGCTCTCTGGCATAAACAATAAAAATAATTTAACCTGTGTTTTAATACATAGAGCTAACTTCTTTTTTTTTTAATTTTCTTTCAGTTTTGGAATAACCACTCCTGCTCAGGAAGTTGCCTGGCTTGGAAATCCTTTAGACTTGGTTGGCTTTCTCTCGGAATGTTTCCTGGTCCCTCCTGCTTTTACTGTTTTATCTCATCATACTTTATTGCCTCATCTTTATTGAATTAGGCAGCTCACTGTTGAAATGTCTATTCTGTTGGACAAGGATTGAGTCTTACCTGCTTACTTTTGAAAATCCACAACCTAGCATGGGCACGTTTTTGAACAAATAAAGTAAAATTCTTAGTGATCACCAAAAGCCATTGGACATGAGCAAAACACAACAGGTCAACAGCAACAACACTTATCCTCTAGCTATCTCACCATGTGTCTGTCTTTTGTTTTTCAAACCATGCCTTTTTATTTGCTTTGTGTCATTTTTCCCAGTTCAAAGTTTTCATTTCCAAACCACTCCTGCTCAGGAAGTTGCCTGGCTTGGAAATCCTTTAGACTTGGTTGGCTTTCTCTCGGAATGTTTCCTGGTCCCTCCTGCTTTTACTGTTTTATCTCATCATACTTTATTGCCTCATCTTTATTGAATTAGGCAGCTCACTGTTGAAATGTCTATTCTGTTGGACAAGGATTGAGTCTTACCTGCTTACTTTTGAAAATCCACAACCTAGCATGGGCACGTTTTTGAACAAATAAAGTAAAATTCTTAGTGATCACCAAAAGCCATTGGACATGAGCAAAACACAACAGGTCAACAGCAACAACACTTATCCTCTAGCTATCTCACCATGTGTCTGTCTTTTGTTTTTCAAACCATGCCTTTTTATTTGCTTTGTGTCATTTTTCCCAGTTCAAAGTTTTCATTTCCTTAGCCCAACTGCAACAATGCTTTTTAAAATAGCTGTCATTATTGCAAATGCCGGCGAAAGTATGTAAGAATTAACCCAATATTTGTTGTAGTCTACATAGCCTCACTTCATATTATGAGGTTTTTTGACAATGCCCTGATGACAAACTCAGAAAATGAACATTTAAGGTTCATGAACAACAACCCAGTGACAAACGATACCCTTAAGGTGTGCATCTCTTATGAGCTGTTGGAGGCCAAAAAGAGGCAGAGGCTGACTCATTAGACCAGCTCTGCTTTCCCTTGAACATCAGTTTGTACACACATTTTATTTTCACGGTTGCCAAGAGCCTTCCTTTCCTTGGGACTACAGGACCTTTCCAGAGATGGGAATGAGGTATGAATAGTTCACATTGTGAAGCAACACTAGCACATACTCAGCCTCTAATGGCTCCAGAGTCTTTCTCATCCCATGGATCTTTAACCATGTGATTTTTCCTAGGCCAAGTTTTTATGAATAAAACTTTGCACTAAGCACCACTCATCTCTTTGAAGAAGAGTCTTCAAAGAGACTGAGTCTTATTAGAAATTGATATTTCTATCCTCAGCTCTGATGTTGCTGAGCATTTGCTACCTTTTTGTAAATTTTTTATACATTCGATCACTGTATATCATTACAGCTTGCAAAATAAATTTTCCCAGCCTGAATGAGCTGTGTGTTACTCCAGTTGAAGAGATTATTATACATGTTATCATCTATGTGTTGATCTCTTTGAAGCAGCTATGTGCCACCATGATCACAGGGTAATTAATAAAATTGGTTCACCACTATGGGACTTGTGCACGATCACATATTTCATCATTAGCCATTGTGTATACTTTTCTCAGTATTCTCGAGAAAGCTTCTTTGGAATTTCCTTCCTTGATACATCACTGGGCATTGTAACATCTGAATAAATTAGGTTAATCAAATTTTCTTTCTTGTGTCCTGTTGTTTTGCAATTGAAGGCTGTCTAGTGTCCCTGCTGTAATCTGCTTTTTATAAATGTCTGCTGTTTATTACTCAGGTTATTCCTTATCACAGAGTGACATAAAACTTCATCATTGATTCAATATTTTATTCAACCCCTCAATAGAATAACTTAATAGAAACTAAAAACAACTGCTGCTGTCAAAAGTCACAAGTACCATTTTTGTGGGTGATACTGCAGAAAGAGATAAGCCTCCCATTTACGCCCACACACTTCTGTGCTTTGCTTCATCTTTAACACAGGACTAATAGTTTTCTTGCAAAGCCACCAAAACTGACCTCTTCTTTTCACGAACAAAAATCAGTGGGTGAGTGTTGGGAGTGTTCAGAACACGAGCTGGCAGCATTTTACATTCTGAAAAGCAAAGGCTGGCCGGTTTTATAAAAACAAAGTTAAATACACAATGTTGCCATTTAAATTAAGCGGAAACCAAAAAAGAGATAGAATTACTCTAAAATCATTTTTTTGGGTAATACATTAACTCTCCTAGTACTAAAAATACATAGTAAAAGAACAAATATTTTTAAAGGGGAGGAAGGGTGAATTCCCTATATAATGCACCCTGAAAAACAGCACCTTTTTTTTTTTTTTTGGAAAGGTTTTTGCTATAGGGCACATTTACTTGCCAGAGAGACAGAGACAGAAAGACAGAAAGTGCGAAATCACCCCCAGGGAAGATGGTCATGCTGCAATCTCTTCTCCTCCACTCTCCTCTCGGGATCTTGGGCACACAAGCACACGTGCCCCGCATGAGTTTAAGCCACCCCGTCTGAACCTGAACCGCGGTGGACCACGTGGGAGTCCAGGGACATAGCCATTAGGCCAACTGCTGGTCTCAAAATAGCACGGCCTTACTCATCTGCTAACTTTAGGAAGTTAAACAGCTAGAAGGGGTGTGTGTGTGTGTGTGTGTGTGTGTGTGTGTGTGTGTGTGTGTGCTCAGTTGTCATCCCACGAAAGGGAAGATTAAATATTAAGAGTCAGTGTCACATAGTATAAAGACCTACATTGTTGAATAATGCTGACCTGGACTAGAATTCTGACCCTCCACTTAATGAGCGTGAACTTTGGGCAATTTATGTACCCTTTTAAACTTCAGTTTTCTCAGAATAACATTTGGATAATATTTAACTCCAAAGTTTGTTGTGAGGCTCAAATATATTCAGAGGCTTTAAGTTGGAGCTTAGCCTAAAAAGAAAGCTGAGGTGCAACAAAAGGGAGTTTATTTCTATTTCTTTCCCCCACTAACCTATCTCTAACACCATCGCATACCTTCATATATTTTATATGAAACTTTTGTGTAAATTTGGATGCCCCATTTTTTTAAAGGTTTTTGTCACAGGGTGCATTCACTCACCAGACAGAAAGAGAAAAAAACAGTGAGAGGGAAAAGGTCCAAGATCCCCACAGGGGATGGCCACACCACAGTCCTTTTTCTTCTGTTCTCCCAGGATCTTGGGTGCACATGCACATGCGCCTGGCGTATGTCAAGTCACCAGGTCCAGGACTCGAACCATGATCGCCAATGTGGGAGTCCATTGATGTAATCACTACTCCATCTGCTGGCCCCTGGGTGCCTCAATTTTAATCCAAATTTATTTTTAGATAACCATGAATAAGCTACCAAATGCCTCTTATTCTTATATGTACTTCATATTCTCCAGATATTATTCTGGATTAACAAGAAATTTACTAGCTGCCTGTAGTTATTGTCCCTTCATTGTGACTATATAATATCATTTGACTAAATAGGTTTTGATACAATTCTATAGGCATTGTTTTCTTCTAAACACCAAGTAATAGGTCCTAGTTGATATGATATTTAATATATTTTTTTATTCATTCAATCACTGTATATCATTACAGCATATAAAATGAGTTTTCCTAGGACCAATACACTGTTTTGGTCCAGATAACAATATTATGTAACAATGTTATGATTTTAATGATGATATTAAAGTAAAAATATGGCTCCAGCAAAAAGTCACTCCAGCATAGATTCTCAGGGATAATTGAAAAAATT